GCAACGGGCTTTGTTGCAAGGATAGGTTCCTGGGTTAGTGGTTCTGCTGCGTGGTATGTGGTTGCTGGTGAGTATTTGCTTCAGGTTGGGGGGCTGTCTGTAGGCAAGGACTGGCCTGTCTCCCAAGATTTGTGAGTGTGTTGGGTCATCCTTCAGGATAGGTTGTAGATCCTTAATAATGCGTTGGAGGGGTTTTAGTTGGGGGTTGAAGGTGACGGCTAGTGGCGTTCTGTTATTTTCTTTGTTAGGCCTGTCCTGTAGTAGGTGACTTCTGGGAACTCTTCTAGCTCTATCAGTCTGTTTCTTCACTTCCGCAGGTGGGTATTGTAGTTGTAAGAATGCTTGATAGAGATCTTGTAGGTGTTTGTCTCTGTCTGAGGGGTTGGAGCAAATGCGGTTGTATCGCAGAGCTTGGCTGTAGACAATGGATCGTGTGGTGTGGTCAGGGTGAAAGCTGGTGGCATGTAGGTAGGAACAGTGGTCTGTAGGTTTCCGATATAGGGTTGTGTTTATGTGGCCATCGTTTATTAGCACCAAAGAGCAAAACTGGAGAAGATTCTCACAAACAAGAAATAACGTGTAGCATTGGCCACATTCCGAATGCTATTGGGTGCCAAACGATGGAGGTTATCGCTGAGCCAGAGTACGAATTTTCTGTAATATCTGTATGAATAGCATGCATGGCAGTGACTTGCCTGACTAGGGATTGCTACCCAGGCAGTGTGCACCAATACTCCTGGGGCAGAGCAGAAGACTTGAGGTGCCGGGATCATGCAACTGTCTGGGGAGGTAGGAGTGGGTCATTCAGGACTGGCTGAAGCTGATCATATCAATGGAGGACCTGGAAAGACAACAGGACCCCAAGGGCAGAACAACTGACACCTAACAATGGGAAACTCCCTCAGGCAGAACATGTGAACTCAGCATAGGTCCTGTAAGGAGGAGGACAATGGAGCAAAAGGTGGGAGGTGGCTGTGTTAGGAGCTAGCCCTTGGAGAGTCACAGGAGCTCTCAACTGGGACTGAGACACAAAGACAGAGAGAGGGTTGACAGAGCCAATCTACAGCAGCTTGGCTGGGTAGAACCCTGATATTGGTCAGTCTGAACTCCATCTTCACCTTTGTTTCTCTTGGCTACCCTAAGGACTTCCCGATGCGGTATCCCAGTTGACTAATAATCCCTACTCAGTTTTGAAAAGGCTGCCGGGTGTCACTGCAATGTCACCACAAGTGGAAGAGATGGTAGATACCGGCGGGGCTCTGGTTTATCTGATAGGAAGTGCAGAGAGACATTCATGTGCACGTGGCAACCAGCATCCGGGTCCATGTCTGTGTAAGAGCTGATACAGAATAGCTGCTGCACTCCCCCACACTGTGGGGATCTAACTCACGACTCTGAGCTACAGCTGCTATTCAAAGCCTATCCCAAAAAGTGCTGCCGGATAGGACAAATTAACGGCATCTCATGAATTTGTGAAGCACAACACAATGATACCAACATGACATACAGCCTGGGCGCCCTGTGTGTTGTAAGGCGTGTGTCTCTAGAGTGGCTGGACAGTGCAGGTACCGGCCCCCTGGAAGACCTCTGCAAAGCTACGGCTCCAGGGAGCACTGCGCACTGAGCTACAGCATCATTTGCTATTAATCTCATTGCCAATTCTCAGAAGCTGAATGAGGAAAATGGATTTTACCAAGTGTCAAGCTGCCTGCATGAGCACCAACCTCAGGGCAGGCTGGTAAGAGCCAGTGCAAAACCCCAAATTGACTGTGAGTTCTGTACTTAGATGTCCCCAACCAATTATCAAGTGTAAAATCCTCAGGCACTATATCAGCATTAACATGCATGACTACCCTCCCTTCATGGGGAAGGAGCGGGCAACAGATCAACAAAGTATTTTGTCCTCTTTAACGTGCCACAATAGTCTTTCTGGTGTCAACTGGGTTTTCCTGTTGGGCAGGACATCACACCTTTGGTTGCAGAGCAGCACTTCATATTACTTAATGCATCTCTCCCTTCTGGTGATTTACATAGTTATAGCCCCACAGCGAGGTCAGATTACCTGCCTTCCTTTTTGGTAGGTGGCTTTAAAACTTGGGTACCCTTCAGGGGTTTTATCTAAGTGGGGGGTTAGGTTTCTTTCCAGTCATTACTTCCCCCTTACCCTGGGTGACAGGGGGATTTCCCTTCCCCTGGGATTTGTACCCCACCCCCATGGGCCCTTGACTCAACATCATAAGCAATTTCTGCAGCCTCTAAAACTGTGGCTGGCTTTTTGTCACAGATGGCTGCCTTCACATCATCTGTAACCACCCAGGGCAACTGCTCCTGGGCCATCAGCTCAAACAATTTTCCATCCTCACCTTCAGTCCCCACTCCCATTACCCATTTTCTCCTAAGATGACATATTTTATGCACATGTTCATCATGAGTGATATTGTCCAACAGGCTGATGTTTCTAGCCTTCAATCCATAGGTCTCAGAGGTAATCTTAAATCTTGCCAATATATTTTCTTTGCATTTCTTCTTCACCTTCACACTACCCTCCTCCAGATCATTCATCACTTGTCTGGCTTCCCAGCTAAGCTGGTTAAGAGAACAGGCATCTGTTTATCTTCTGGGATATTGGGTAGCCCAGGCAGTCTCTCCAAGGTGGACTGGAACTCTTCTGTACAGTCAGTTTCTTTATAAATTAGGCAGACTTCTCCCACTCCCTTGTGTTGCGGGGGGTGAGGCAGGTGTACCCACTGGCTCCTTTTGCTGCTCCAGTCATTTGGGCTGAAATGTTTGAGCTTCCATCAGACTCCTGTGTGCCCGCTCCTCAGTTTGTTTGTGGGCTTTGACTGCTGCTACTTCTTCCCTGTGTCTTTGGTGGGCTCTCAACTCGGCTGCCTCGGTTTCCCTGATTGATAATTCTGCTGTCAGTCTCTGATGCTCACAGGCGCTCTCAGGTGCTACAACTGGGCCCATTCCCCTGCAGTGATCTCCTCTTCTGCGTCTGGGGCTGGAGGGTCCTTGCCTTCCCCTAGCACCTGGGGTAAGAACTTAAGACCAAAGCTCTCAGCTCCTGAACTCAGGCTTTCTTTTTATAGTCCCCTCTGCCAACATAACTGTTCAAGTTCTTTTCTTACAAGACCATCACATAACTGTGGTCACTCATTGTGTCCATTCTATAACATGTAAAACTCTCACTATTGAGGTTAAACCTTAATAGCACTGAGGTTATGATCTATAAACTTCATTCACTTGTGGTATGTGAATCCTGCCAACTATGCCAATGTCAAGCTGCCTCCAGTGACTTAAGAGCATGAGCACCAACCTCAGTGCAGACTGTTAGGAAGCAGGGCACCAACCCCTAATTGGTTGCGAGTTCTATACTTAGATTTCACCCACCAAGTTCAAGTGTAAACTCAGGCACTGGAACAGTCTTAACATGGCATCACTCTGATCTATCTCGCCACCTAGGTGAGCCTGCCTTTGTGACAGATGGTCCCTTACACCAAAAAATCACAGCAATATTCAGGTTACTCCAAGTCCCAAAGGACCAGTCACTTACTCCAGGTCAATTGCACTTTAGATCTCACCCCAAAGACAACACTTGCAACCAATCCTCTAATAAACTACATACAGATTTATTAAATGGGAAAAGGAAATGAAAGAGTTATTTACAAGGTTAAAGCAGGTCAACACACACAAAAATTAATTATAATCTTACCTTTTGGAAGGTAGCAGAAGCTTTTATAAGCAAGCCCTGTATGTCTTTTAGGGCTAACCCAGGCTAAGCAGCTGGGGATCCCTTGCTTACGCCTAGAAAACTTTGTCCCCCGAGTCCAACCAGCACAGAGATCCAGTTCCATCTTGTTATGGGTTTTTATTCTCCCCCTCCCATGTGCTCTGAGCTGCAAACTCAGCCAACGGGAGTAAACCACTTGCAAGACTCATCTTCATGGGAGGGGAAGAGCACAGAAATGAAGTCTTTTGTCCTCTTTAACGTGCCACAATAGTCCTTCTGGTGTCCATGGGCCTTTCCTGTCAGGCAGGACATAACACCACTGGTTGCAGAATGGCACTTCATATTACTTAATGCCTCTTTCCTGTCTAGTGATTTACATAGTTACAGAGGCTTACAGTACCAATGCTCAACTGTGGGATACCGATGCTGTGAGTGAGATTAGTGCAGGCAGCAACTCACAGGCATTCCATAAAGTCTAAACACGAAACACATTCTTATAATTTTAATGTTTCAACTATACTAGCCCACAGATCATAGAATATCAGGGTTAGAAGGGACCTCAGGAGGTCATCTAGTCCAACCCCCTGCTCAAAGCAGGGCCAATCCCCAATTTTTGGCCCAGATCCCTAAATGGCCTCCTCAAGGATTGAACTCACAACCCTGGTTTAGCAGGCCAATGCTCAAACCACTGAGCTATCCCTTCCCCCCAGATGAGCCAGACTGGTTCCAGCTAGGTGTTTATCAGTGGTCAGTTGAGACCTGGGGACCTTGGCATGAGCTGGCACCTGGTCTGCCAGCATCACACAAAGCATCTCTGAAAAGCAGCCCCTGACTTGCCCTCTATGTTTAAAAGCATTAGAGGACCCAGCCTTGGCACATCCTACCCCTTCTGTAGGCAAATTCTTGGCCACTCCATTGACAACCTCAGAAATGCTGAGACTTGAAGCTCATTTCCAGACACACCAATCTTTTCCAGCGGGTCTCCCTGACTCTTACACCACTTACTTAAGGTACATCTCCCTCCTCTGTGGCTTTGGTTTGCTAACACATCAGCCCCATTGATGGGAGTATGCTATCCTGGAGAGGATGGTGTATCATGAAACCAAGAGGACTGGTCAAGCTGGCAAACCTGTGCTGAAAATCTGCGGCAGGGATGTCATAGGAGCAGCAGCACCGGTGTCTGCAACATCTCCCCCAAGTAATTGTGGCTTCATCACTGGCCACGCACGTACGTCCACAGAAACACACACATCAGAGCGACACTTACCTTCGTCTCCTTGATCTTGACAGCGATCACTTGCTTGCGCTGCCGGATGATCTCCATGAGCTCATCGCACTCCTCCATCAACTTGGCCTCATGCATGGCTGTGTTCACCTAGGTAGAAACAGCAGAAACCCCAAGCTGTTAGAATGCAACACGCTGACTCAGAGCCTGGCAACTCCTGCCACTCTGACAACTCTGACAGAGAGATAAGCAACAGCTTCCCACCACAGGCCCCCTCCTGTCAGCCAAGGCCTGTGCCAGCTGCCAGGGAGTCAGGGACTGAAGTGGCGAGGACATAATACTGTTTAACATTTGCTGCTGTGCAGGTACCAAAAATAGAAGCAGGCTGCCATGTCCTGTATTTGTTCCCATTTCAGCGGCAGGAGGAAGGCACCAAAGCAAGGGCACATATTAACCTCTTCAGAGCTGGGGCCTTAGCTTCTGTCCTTAGGTCAAATGACAGGGCCCCTCATGATGCGGCAAAGAGCCGTTCCCTGGGATGTCCAGCCATGACCAGAAGGGAGCAAGAGACACGTTCTTCAATACAAAAATGTTACCACATCAGTTCATGTGACACAATCTGAGCCCTCCTCTGGATACCAATGGCCACAGGCCAGCATAGACAGCTCAACGATTAGAACCTTGTTAGTGCCAGTGAGGTGCAGGGTCCTAATAGTTATAATCCTAGAAATATAGGGCTGGAGGGGACCTTGAGAGGTCATCTGATGCAGCCTTCTGCACTGAGGCAGAACCAAGGAAACCGAGATCATCCCTGACAGGTGTTTGTCCAACCTGTTCTTTAAAACCTCCAGTGACGGGGATGCCACAATCTTCCTTAATGCCCCAGCATGCTTGGTCCCAGCTTGTCTGTAAAGAGCATGTATCCAAAGGGGTCCTTCCAACTGATTGTGACAAAGAAAAGGGTTTGTGACCTTATCAAGCAATGTGAGATCACAGAGCAGTCACTAAGCTGTCACCGTCAGAGGGCATGGAGAAAGAATAAAATGCAAGGAGTGAATTAGGCTTCTAATGGAATAGCAGGCAGCAGCTAGAATGGAGCTTTGCCACATTACACTACAAGACAGAATCCATTGCTTTCTTGTACACAGATGAAGCGAAAATGATGCAGCATTTATGCAGCAGGGCCAGATGCAAAGTACCAAAGTCCCCAGGTTGGTGCAGAAAGGTCAGCAGTATAGCTCTAGCTCACCTCAGGTCTCAGCACTGAGAAGCAGCTGGAGGATTATCAAACACTTCTGTACACATGTGATCTGAAGCCAGCCATGCTAGTGGGGCCAGAGGGAGGAGGGGCTGAGGCAGGCAATGAGGAACACAGCAGATCTCCTTTTTAAGATCAGTTGGGAAGGTAATTGCTGTGGATTAAAGAAGAAGATGCAGCAGATTTGCATGCAAATAGCTAAATGAAGGAATAACAGGAAAGCTGGCCTGCTGTTTCCTGGGGGACAGGCCAGATTATTTTTCCTTGTTTTACCACTGTTTTCTCTCTCCAGTGATTTGTAAATTTGGTCCTAAGCACTGAATGGCCTGAGTGCTGGTGAAAAGGCCCTGGAGAGCCACTGGGATCCACCCCAAGGTGCTGAGGATAGATTTCAGCAGGATGGAGGGTGCTCAGCAGGAAGCCCCTAAGCCACCGAACGGGTGCAGCCTGGGCAGCAGCAGGCCTGCTTCACCCATGCTAAGCAGCCAGCGGGACTCAGCCCTGCTCTCCGGGAGAGAGACAAGGGCAGTCTCAGTGGCACATTCAGCCATTGCCCTCTCCACGGACTCCAACGCCCAGTGGAATGGCGGGGTTTGCTTTAACGTGGGTAATCGTCGACTAGACACAGGGCAGAGCCCACCAGGTCAGTCATGCAGCTTGCAGTGGGGCAGCCAGCAGGTCCCTGGGTCAAATGAACAACATTTTGTTTGATCAAAAACTAAATGTTACATTATCTGATTTTTTTACCCCGTAAATGTTTTGGGAACAACATCGAAGTATATTTCAAATCAAAAATTCAGTTTGAATTGAAAAATCAAAACTTCTGCTTTCAAAACGGTTAATGCCTCTACCCAGATCCTGGTGTGGATTTGCAGAGACTGTGGCCTGCATTTCCCGCTCACAGAAAGCCAGGCTGGGGGGACCATCCAGTGTGAGAGGTACCTGCTGGTGGAATTTCTCAGGAAGCAGCTGGGAGAGCTACAGGAGGAGGTGGCCAGGCAGAGGAGCATCCCTGCCCATGAGGAATTCCTCAAGAGTATTTGTATGGAGACATCCAAGGCTGAGGATGTTATCCAGCTAGAGAGGACTGCTGTCATGCCACCGGGGGAGGAGGATAAGACTCTGGTACAGGGAGGACACTGGCTGCTGATTACTTCTGGCAACAGGCAGTGCTCCACCCCTACTCCCAACCCACCCACCATGGTGATGGAGAACCGTTCTGCTGCCCTAGCAACAAGTGATGAGGAATCATACCCAAAGGTTGAAGATGAGAAGCCATGTACCCCCAAGGTTGGGAGGATCATAGCCACCACTCCCAGGAGGAAACGTAGGGTAGTGGTGGTTGGAGACTCTCTTTTGAGGGGGACAGAGGCACCCATCTATCACCCTGACATGGCATCCTGGGAGGTATGCTGCCTGCCAGGGGCCTGTATCCAAGATGTTACAGAGGGATTGTTGAGGATATCCGGCCCCCATGCGACTCATCCATGTGGGCACTAATAATACTGCGAGGTATGACCCTCAGCAGATCAGAAGTGACTACAGGGCTTAGAGTAAGGGTGAGGGACCTGGGAGAGCAGGTGGTGTTCTCTTCGATCCTTCTAGTCAAGGGTAGGGGCCTCGGCAGAGACAGATACATCCTGGAGGTGAATGCCTGGCTGCGAAGATGGTGTCGCCAGGAGGCCTTCGGCTTCCTTGACCACGGGATGCTGTTCCAGGAAGAAGGTCTGCTAAACAAAGATGGGGTCCACCCATCAAGGAAGGGGAAGAGCATATTTGGCTACAGACTGGCTAACCTAGTGAGCAGGGCTTTAAACTAGGTTCGACAGGGGCAGGTGACCAAAGCCCACAGGTAAGTCAAAAGCATGGAGACCTGGGAGAAGGATCGGAATTTAGGGGGAGCGTGGGCTGTTATAGCAGAAATAAGGGCGAGACAAGACGGAACTGGGGTGGGGGAGGGAATCAAATCAGTATCATAGATGTCTGTATACTAATGCAAGAAGTATGGGAAATAAACAGGAAGAACTCTAAATGCTTGTACATAAACACAACTATGACATGGTTGGTATCACAGAGACTTGGTGGGATAATATGCATGACTGGAATATTGGTACAGTAACTCCGCGCCTAACATTGTAGTTACGTTCCTGAAAAATGCGACTTTAAGCGAAACAATGTTAAGCGAATCCAATTTCCCCATAAGAACGAATGTAAATGGGGGGGGAGGGGGGATTAGGTTCCAGGGCAATTATTTTCACCAGACAAAAGGCTATATTATGTATATGTATACACAGTATAAGTTTCAAACAAACAATTTAATACTGTACACAGCAATGATAATTGTGAAGCTTGGTTGAGGTGGTGGAGTCAGAGGGTGGAAGAGGGTGGGATATTTCCCAGGGAATGCCTTACTGCTAAATGATGACCTAGCACTTGGCTGAGCCCTCAAAGGTTAACACGTTGTTAATGTAGCCTCATGCTCTGCAAGGCAGCACAAATGGAGGGAGGGGAGACAACATGGCAGACAGAGACAGAGACACACACCCTATGTGTGGGAGAGAGAGATGCACATTGTTCCTTTAAGTACGCTGACCCTGCTCTAAGTACATTGCCTTTTTAGATCAGGAAGTTGAGACCGCAGCTGTGGCCTGCAAGCTCCCTCCGTCCTGAGCCCTGTCGTGTCCCCGCCCTGCTCTATGGAGAAGGGGTAAGCGGGTGGCAGGAGCAGGGGGACACCCTGATATTAGCCCCCCTCATTCCTTCCCTCCGCACAGCAAGCAGGAGGCTCGGGGAACAGCTCCAAGGCAGAGGGCGGGAGCAGCACACGGCAGTGGGGGAAGGGACAGCTGAACCACCATCAATTGATAGCCTGCTGGGCGGCTGCCACACAGGGAACTTAGGGAAACAGGAAGCCGATGGGGGGCTGCCAGTCGACCCTGGTTCCAAGCCCCCACCAGCTCGCTCCATCAGGCTGCTCTTCCGGCAAGCAGTGGACAAAGCAGGCGGCTGCCAAACCACGTTATAAGGGAGCACTGCACAACTTTAAAGAGCATGTTCTCTAATTGATCAGCAACGTAACAACAAAACAACGGTAACAGGGACGACTTTAAGTGAGGAGTTCCTGTATAGAAGGGTATAGCTGGCTCAGGAAGGACAGGCAGGGAAAAAAGGGAGGAGGTGTTGCCTTATATATTAAAAATGTAGACACTTGGACTGAGGCTGAGATAGAAATAAGAGACAGTTGTTGAAAGTCTCTGGGTAAGAATAAAAGGGGTAAAAAACAAGTCATGGTAGGGGGTCTACTACAGACCACCTGATCAGGAAGAAGAGGTGGATGAGACTTTTTTTTTAAACAACTAACAAAATCATCCAAAGCACAGGACTTGGTGGTGATGGGGGACTTCAACTACTCAGACATCTCTTGGGAAAATAACACAGCAGGGCACAGATTATCCAACACGTTCTTGGAATGCACTGGAGACAATTTTTTATTTCAGAAGGTGGAAAAAGCTACGAGCGGGGGAGCTGTTCTAGATTTGATTTTGACAAATAGCGAGGAACTGGCTGAGAATTTGAAAGTGGAAGGCAACTTGGGTGAAAGTGATCATGAAATGGTAGAGTTCATGATTCTAAGGAATGGTAGGAGGGAGAACAGCAGAATAAAGACAATAGATTTCAAGAAGGCAGACTTTAGCAAACTCAGGGGGTTCATAGGTAAAAAATCATGGGAAGCAAGTCTAAAGGGAAAAACAATTGAAGACAGTTGGCAGTTTTTCAAAGAGACATTATTAAGGGCACAAGAGCAACCTATCCCACTGCATAGGAAAGATAGGAAGTATGGCAAGAGACCACCCTGGCTTAACCGGGAGATCTTCACTGATCTAAAACTCAA